GGACACGCGAGGATTACGTTGATAGGACGTACGATGAAAACCGATCGATTGAGGGTTTTTGTTTGTTCGATTTATTTTGCAGCTGTGCGAATTGATGAGCGGAGGAGAATGGACTGTCGAGAGAGACGAGGATCTTACTGCGCCTTACGCGTTTAAGGACAAGTCTTGGATCGCTTTCGAGGATAAAATATCGGTTTCGATCAAAGTATGCAATTCTTTGACACTTGTTTCTACTTGGTGAGATTGAATTGGTTGAGAATAGGTGGATTTTTTAGGGGAAATACGTGATGCTTCGTGATTTACCTGGATTGGCTGTACACAATATTGAAAATGACTTTAAGACGAAGTGTGGAGGACCTGTCACACAAGAGGCTTATCACTCGTTCATGGACTTCAAGAGGAAATCGAGAGCTGCTGTTCTGAACGCTTTGGAAGACGATTTGCATGTAAATAAAAGTGATTTTAATGATTATGGTTGGTGGAGTTGGTTAACATCGATCGTTAAGTATGAGACCTTCCTTGGAGTATTTTGCGGAAGATGTTGCTATTCTTTCGATAACGTGAATGTTTAATTCAACTAAATGTTATGATTATATGCGGGAAATTTAAATTCCTGAAATTTTGCAAAATTAAATTCTTCGCGAGGAATTGAAGACATCATTTGCACGCCACCTTCTGGTGAAAGTCTGGATCACAGAACGCGTATCAGTAGCTGGCAATGCACTCATTATTGCAACTTTTATTCAAATTAATTTTCACAATTAGCAAAAGTAAATTATTATTTTTATACACTTGGACTTTTATGTCAATAACAAATGAACTTCGTAGACTGTACAACTTTGAATTAATTTTCAAATTTCAGCAAAAGGAACTTGAATATGCAACTCAAGTTAAATCGTCCGACTTTCGAGTTGTTCGTGTAGTAAATACAGAAGGACATATCAGAGCAGTAAGAGAAAATACTCAGACAGAATTCACCTGCTCGAGACAGGGATACTTCGTTCACCCAAAGAGTTGCAATAGGTACAACAAACTATTTCTAACAAACTACGAAGAATGCTTAAGTCACTTTCAATTACAACGAAAAAATGTTTCATTTCCAACACAGATTTTATCGCTGCGTAAAATTCAACCAAGAAGTGGAAGACTATTCCGTATTCGAGTTCGACTGTCCAGCTGGATTGTCTTTCGACGAGCGCACAGAAGTGTGCGTATGGCCAGGATCGCTGCCTCAAGGATCTCCGTGTCCAGGAAGCAGCGAAATCGCACCTGTGGCTAGAGTAAGATTCGAATGTCCCAGTAAACCTGGCTACTACGCGGATCCACAGAATCCACGATGGTTCTTCGCCTGCATCGACTTAGGTTCTTATTACTCGTTAAACGAAACTTTAATTCGGTACGAAATAGTTAATTAATTGGGAATTATAACGGCAGGTGGTCCTGAGACAATGGCCTACGAATTCCGTTGTCCGTATGGTCTGATCTTCGACGAGCAAAAATTCATTTGCGAGTGGCCTTGGTTGGTGCAAGGCTACTCTGATTCTGGTTACACGAAATCGCAATACGACAATGGATATGGCACTGGATCTACTGTAGGAACTGGTGGATATTACACTGGAGGATTACCTAACGGATACACAGGAACAACTGGAGCTGGAGTGTACACTGGATCAACAGGTGGTGTTGGTTATCACGGTGGTAATACAGGATTTTCTGGAGCAGCTGGAGTTGGCTATACAGGTGGCCATGGATCCTCGTTTGGTCAAGGAACAACTGGAAATGGTTATGGTGGATCGGTGGCAGGAGGTCATGGAGCTACTGGATACGCTGGAACAGCTGGATCAGGTGCAGCTGGCCATGGATCCTCGTTTGGTCAAGGAGCAACTGGAAGTGGTTACAGTGGATCGGTAGCAGGAGGTCATGGAGCTTCGTACGGTGGACAAGGATCTACTGGATACAAGGGAACAGCTGGATCAGGTGCAACTGGTCATGGAGGAGCATCGTATGGTGGACAAGGATCTACTGGATACACTGGAACAGCTGGATCAGGTGCAGCTGGTCATGGAGGAGCTTCGTATGGTGGACAAGGATCTACTGGATACACTGGCACAGCTGTATCAGGTGGAGCTGGTCATGGAGGAGCTTCGTATGGTGGACAAGGATCTACTGGATACACTGGAACAGCTGGATCAGGTGCAACTGGTCATGGAGGAGCATCGTATGGTGGTCAAGGATCTACTGGATACACTGGCACAGCTGGTCATGGAGCTTCGTATGGTGATCAAGGAGCAACTGGACCTGGCGCAGGAGGTCATGGATCCACGTTTGGTCAAGGAACAACTGGAAGTGGTTACAGTGGATCGGTAGCAGGAGGTCATGGAGTTTCGTATGGTGGCCAAGGATCCCCTGGGTACACTGCAGCAACTGGATCAGGCGCAGGAGGTCGTGGAGGTTACGATAACCAAGGAAAAACTGGTAGTGGTTACAGTGGATCGGTAGCAGGAGGTCATGGAGTTTCTTACGGTGGTCAAGGATCTCCTGGATACACTGGAGCAACTGGATCAGGCGCAGGAAGTCATGGAGCTTCATATGGTGGGCAAGGAGCAACTGGACCAGGCGCAGGAGATCATGGAACATTCGACAACCAAGGAACAACTGGAAGTGGTTACAGTGGATCTGTAGCAGGTGGTCATGGAGTTTCGTATGGTGGTCAAGGATCTACTGAAGCAGCAGGATCAGGATCAGGAGCAGGAAATCATGGAGTTTCATACGGTGGTCCAGGATCACCAGGATACTCTGGAACAGCACCAGGAGGACATGGATTATCGTACAGTGGTCAAGGAAGCTCGTTTGGCCAAGGAACAAGTGGCAGTGGTTATGCTGGGCCAGGAGCAGGAGGACATGGAAGTGGCCAAGGACCAACAGGATACCCTGGAACAACTGGAACTGGTTACGCAGGATCAGTAGGAAAAAGTCATGGAACCTCAGGTACTGGTCAAGAAACTATCGATTTCTCTGGGTCGGACAAAGAAGGTGAAGGAGGAGCTGGACATGGAGGTTCCAATGGCCCAGGATATAACGTGGTACAAACTACTGGATACGCTGGAACAGGCGGAACATTCACTGGCACAGCTGGTCCAAAATATCCTGGATCCAACTATCCAAGTGGATCAGGATCGTCCAATGTACCTGATCAAGGATACTCAGGACCTGGTTTCACTAGTCACGGTACTGGATCAGGATATCCAGGAACGCGTAAGTTTCTTCCACAGGAATAATTCATCTCTAATTATACTTTATTAAAATTATTTCATTTGCTTCAATTTACTCTTCAGCTGGGCCCATCTTCAAGCACAAGCCTGAGAGACCAAACTTCAATTGTGGCACCCCTTGTTCCGGAGATACCGAACCGTCAGGTGGTCAAACCTACGTAACAGACGATTATCTTTCTACCCACGGTATTACTTCTGGATCAAACGTTTACCAAGACACTCACGGATACAAAGGAAGCTTGAACGTTACCTTACCCGGAGGCCACGTACCTTCCGGAGGAACCACAACGTATTTCGGAGGTGTGACACCTACCAACGGCTACGTCGTTACAGCAGGAGCTGGTGCTGGCGTTATCGCAACAGGACCCAACGTTCAAGGATCGATTCTCACCGGACCATCCACTCCTGGAACTCTCATCACCTATGGAAGCTCTTCAGGCACGATCGTTGGAGGTTCTACCGATCAAGGAAGCATAGTAACCGGAGGCAGCCATCCAGGATACACGAAAACTGGTCCAGGATCTCCTGGCTATGTCATCACCAATGGAGTCAAGCCTGTGTACCCATTCTCAGGTGGCCCAGGAACCTCGATATACGGAACACCTTCGCCTGGTGTCGTAGTAACCGGAGCACCTGGAGCTGGAACCATCGTGAAGGGACAAACGAGTCCTGGAATTCTTCTTACAGGACACACCGCACCTGGAGTGTCTATCGGTGGATCGATCGAGCAAGGAACAGTCGTTGGTTCCACAGGACATCACGGATACACTGGTTTCTCGACGCCACAAGGAGGTGCCACTTCGGGAACGAAAACTGGAAGCGTGCCGTCAACTTACAACACCGGTTACAAAACCAACGAGTATTACGACAACGGAGGACACGGTACCATTAAGTTCAACAACGGCGAAGTGGCCACGAAATTCACGGAGAACGATATTCCAGACTACAGACCAGCTGGAGGCACAATTCCACCTGACACTCTGTTCCCTGGAGTTACAGGAGGTTCTAGAGTGTCTACTCCAAGTGGATTCACAAAGACTGGCCCTACCAAGACAGGATTCACCACTGCTACTCTAGGAGCTGGTGGAAGCTACGTGATCAGCACAGGAAGTACGTATCCCACGCCTAATCCTGATCACATTGGCGCGAATGCGTTCCAAGGCAGCGGACCTGGATACACGAAGACATCTACCGAGAGTAGCTTCGACAGCGTAGACTCGAAGGTCACTCTTGGACCTTCTCAAGGCTACTCGTATCCTACCCCTGGTATTGCGTTCGAAACAGGAGTGACGAAAAATTTGCCTCTCTCTTCGACGGATGGCGGTCTCTACACTGCGACTACTCCGACGCCTTTCTTGAACGTCGAAGTGTACAACACGCCGAAATTCTACCACAGACCCAGTGGATTCACTCGTGGTCCTGTTCCAATTTCTACGCCAGTGCTTTACACGACTGGACCCTTGGAGAATTACAAGACGACTCTTCTCCAAGCAGCCAAGATCCCACATACCATTTCCACCGTGCAACCAGTGTTCGATAATGGATACGAGACCATCGTGTCTTCGACGCCAGTGCCTGTCACCCTAACTCCGAACAAGTACAGCGGTGTCCAGACTGGATCGCAGTTTGACTATGGAACGAAAGCTTCTCAGCAGGATGTGTACCAAGATAGAAAGAGCTACTATTCCAGCACGACACCTTCGTCGGTGTTTGGAGGATCGTCGACCTATTCCCCTGGAAATCAAGTAGGATTTTACTCTACAATTGTTTAAACAAGTAACTCTATCGTTCTATAATTTTTTAAATAATTTGTAATGTAACTTTTTAGTTTAAGTATGGAACTACTGCCCCATCTGGCTCCGCATACTTCGGTTCAACCTCGAAGAGCGTGTTTGGTCAAAGCGTGACACCTTCCAGCGTCTCAGAGTCGCTAAAGCCACAGGTGGATATTGAAGAACCCTTTATTCGTTAGTATTAACAATATTCTTACTAATATTCGATGAAAATATTGTAATTTTCAGACTCAGTACCTGCCAGGTGGCTCCATTTCACCAGCAATCGGTGTAACCTACAGAAAACCATTCCCATTGTCCAACGAAGCCTTCCAACAGTCCACACCGATCAGTCCCATAGAATCTAGCACCGTTAGCGGTGGTTCTCCCACGAACATAGCTATTCCTAGAGACGAAGTCGGAAAGCTCATCACGAATTACAACAGAGGCACCACTAAATACGTTCCAAACGAATACGACGTCTACAAGACAGGATCGATTTCTGGAGCTGACTACTCCAGAACACAATCCTCCTCTCTGTCAACGTTCCAAAGCGGTTACGGTTCGTCTACACCAGCCTCGATCAGCAATACTCAATCGCCTTTCGGTGTGACAACTTACTTAGGAGGTTACTCCAAACCCACTTCCATTCTTACCTACCAAACTACCGGCAAATCCACAGCCGTAGGCAAGGGCAAGGTGATCGTGAAATGGAGCGATCTTCATCCTCTCCTCCTCGGCAAACTCGGAGCAGAGTGCACCTGCAGAGGAGATCCGTTCGCCAATCTCAGAGGTCCAGGTTCCAAGTTGATCAACTCCTCCAAGGGTAAAGTAGACTTGTCGAATTACGACGAATCGGAGATCTACGTGGATCTAGAGAAAGAAGGTTCCTACGACGACGGAGATTACTCGAACAACCGTGAATCGTCTTCGAGTAAACCGGTTAAGATCTGGAACGAGTACTCTTCCCAATTAGCTCTGAACGCTGCGGACGCTCAAACTCAGGAAAAACTATCTTCGACTTATCTACCTAGCGTTACACCATCGGTGAACCTTGCTCCTCATGCCAGTGCTTCGGCATTCGCCTCCAGTCGTGGATTGGCTGCTAATCACAGGTCGGGCAAAAGTCTGAGCAACGTTGGATCTTCCGCCAATTCGTTCGTAACTCGTCCTAGCTTCGAAGGAGACGGCACGTCGGAGGAGATCCTCGAAGGACCCACACATTGCGCCAGACCTGGCCTCTTCAGACACCCGAACTTCTGCAACAAATTCTACGCCTGCCATTGGGACGAGTGGAAGAAGAAGTTCACGCTTCATGTGTTCAGCTGCCCTGTGCATTTAACTTTCGACACCGGCGCGACAGCCTGCAACTGGCCCAGCATGGGACCAGCCTGCCAGGACGATAATTTGTTAGTTTAGATGGTTCACCGTCGACGAACAGCTGACTGATCATTATTTGGTCAGAGTAGGAAATGAGGGAGTGTGAAAGAATTTAGCGTGAATTTGTTACCACGACGAGGTAATTTTGTCCATTTTTTTTAAATTATTTATCGAATTATGAAATAATCACTTTGAAGCTGGAGATATTGAAAATAAAGGAGAAACGTAGAGATAAAAGTTCTAAAATATGCGATTTATCTGTCACATTGCTGTGTCGTAATGTTTGACAATTTACTCACGTTGCATTGATATCACGGAGGAATTTTTTTCGAGCAAGGTTTCATTTCTGCGACAAGGAACACTGTATGAGATAACGTTTAATTATAACGTGGTAACGGTTTATCCTGAATTTCTTTGCATACCATTGGAACACGCGGACACGAGTAGAAGAGAATGCTTTCTCGAGGTAACACACAAACGGAGACAAAGAAGAAGAAAGATCCAAGGCGATCGAGGTGGCTGCGATCGCGAAAGCACACTGTCCAGAGTGAAAGTCAAGCTGTGCTCGCCGATCCAAATCGCGACAGAAGTCTCGATGGTGTACGCGATTCGATGTCGCCGGCGAATCATTGTAAATAACGTCCCCTACTCTTACAAAATTGTAAATAACGACAAATTATCCTGTAACAAAAGAAGAAAGAAGAAGAAAAAAGAGGACGAAAAAGTTGATGAATCGATGAACCGAGAAAATTGATCAAAAAAGGTGACACGAAAGTAGTATTTCAAATTTAACTCTGTTACTCTTTTAATTCATAATTACTGTTCTCTGTCTTTTTGTCGATTTTTTAGAAATTACGAAAAATCATTGGCGGTTTTATTTTTGTATATATATTTTTTAGAGAGAAAAAAGAGAAAGAGGTGTATCGATATCGATAACGCGGCTCGCATAATTGACATATCCCTTGATAATTCGTTTACTTTCTTTTCCGGATTTTTTCGCGCTTCCTGCCAACACACAGGGAATTTTTACGTTCTTTACGCATTACCTAAGCTTTGCCTTGATTCTGTGTTCATCTCGTTCCTATCTCTACCTTTTTTCCCCCCGCTTCCTCTCGATGCGATTATTATTTATTTGCCGCTTGTTACTACTAGGAGTTAAGGGTACTTTACGATAAATCGTTTCGCGTCGACGAGAATGTTTTTCTCCCACTTTGTATGTCTCTCTTGCACACTTTTAGGCCGAAGCTTCGATAATTGTGCCATTTTATCGTGGTTATATCTAATGTAATATTACGAACTTAGAATAAATATGATAATTGTACAAAAAAACAGAAAAAAGTCGATAATGTGTGCCAAAATTTGAACCATTCCTTGGACCCGTTATTTTTTGGGACGTTTTTTCGAGAAGGTCCCATTTCTCTTGAATTAATTTTTCTTTAAATGGTCCCATTTCCCTGGTATTATTTTTTCTCGAGGTGATTCCATTTTCCTGGAATTATTTTTACCGAGACTGCAAGAAACCTGATTCAGTAATCGCGTACTCAGCTTCGTGACGTTATTAAAACGAGAAAAAGGACACGTTTGACGTTTTGTGTTTACACGGCCTCAGGCTAAACTTTCGTTTGTTCCATATAGCAGAGGCGTGGTGACTTTCCATTTAATAACGAAGACGTTCGGTTAATCGCGTTGACCTGCTAAAGAAAATTCTTGGCTGAAAATAATGAATCGACGATAAATTATCAGAAATAAGTAATAAATTGTACAAAACCACGTTGAACCAGAAATAACGTTTCTAATAGGTATACTTGATTTCTAGTCAGGCTTAAGTGAAAATTTTTAAATAAGACAGTAATAATTACTACATCGTGATTACATTTTTATTGCAACCGCTGAGAAAGTTGTTCACCATCGCAACTTAGCTGTAATAGTTGTCGATGATGAAATATTTCCAACAATTAAACACTGCACCATTATATCCTCTAACCTCGATAGACTAGGAGAGTCTTGTCAACTGCACGACCATAATTTATGTTCCATCGAGGGCGTTCAATAGAACCATGAATAATTAATACTAAACTCTGCATGGTAACCTATTTATTTCACTTTTATTAAATCGAGAATCTTTTAAAAATTACCTCAAAGTGATTACACTTAACGAAAAAAATTCCATTAGAAAAGTACGACCATAATTCATGTTCCATCGAGAGCGCTGAATAGAGCTATGAATAATTAATACTAAACTCTGCATATCTGCTTCATTTTTATTAAATCGAGAGTATTTTAAAAATTATTTCAACGCAAAAAATTCGATTAGAGAAGTATAATACGACCATAATTCATGTTCCATCGAGGGCGCTGAATAGAACCATGAATAATTAATACTGAACTCTGCATGGTAACCTATCTATTTCACTTTCATTAAATCGAGAGTATTTTAAAAACTACTTCAAAGTGATTACACTCAACGCAAAAAATTCGATTAGAAAAGTACGGCCATAATTTACATTCCATCCAGAACGTTGAATAGAAGCACGAATAATTAATACCGAACTCCAGACTTTGCATAGTAATTTGTCCGTTTCACTTTTACTAAATCGAGAATATTTTAAGAAATATTTCAAAGTGATTACGTTCGAAGCAAAAAGCTCGATTCACTAATGAAATTCAACGAGTGTCGCTGATTAACAGTAGACAGTTCGTTAACGTAGAAAGCTGTACGCTAAACGAAAAACCCATGAAACGAAGTTTCTCCGCGTTAACCACAATTGGCGAAATGATTAGCCACGATCACACCTAGTTCACGGTGATTTTCACCATTCGCGAGGCAACGTAAATTTACAGTTTACGAGTGAAATCAACTGCTACAGTAATGTCTTGCAGCGTACAAGAATAACACTCGTTTTTCTGCATAGTTTAACAGTGAAAAAGTATCTGGAATGCAGTAACAATTCGATATACGTAAGTTTCTGTCGTTTTATTGCATCACCGGAGAATCGGAAATTGATAAACAACGTAACTGAAATTGTACAAGTATAATGTTAGGTAACTATCTCTCGATCAATGAAAAGAGTGTGATTTTTAAGAATAGAAATACAAGGAAAATGTGATTCCTCGAGAGAGTTGATATTTAAACGAATTTTTCTACGTTTTTAAGATCGTTTCATTCGTCATAAGAGAAAATGAGGAATACGCGATGGAGATGGAACGGTAAAGGAGGTCACTGGAAATAAACTCTTGTCTCTAGTGACCCACTGATACATTTTCGTCCGCGAGGTAAGTGGCAAACGACACACAACACGCGCTCATTTTATTCTCTTTCTTTGTTCGCGGTATAATTATTCGCGCGTTTATTCTGTGAAACGTGTCTCTCGTTCTTTCGACAAAATTTCGAAGAAAATGCATCGATTTAAATAGCCGACTTCTTTGTGTACAGAAAAGTCGGAAATATCAATTTTTAATTCTTTTTGAAATTACTCCCTGAAAAATCTGAAAAATCACGAATTAACAATTAGAGTAGAATATAAATTTTGTCATTCGACAAGTTTAACAATAAAATTAGCATTTTCTAAATACTTAAAATTTTTTCAATTCGGTTCTGCAATTCAAAAATGTGAAAAAATTTAATTTGGAGAAGCTTTTACCTTTGTTCAGAATTACACGAAGAAATTACCGCCCGGTTTTATCGATATTTTAATATCACAAAAGGCGGTTTACATAAGCCTAATTAATGCACATAGCAGAGCATGGTACAAAGCACAAGTGCCGTTATTAGCCACGAAAGGAAGCAATTTTTCCTGAAGAAAGAAGGAAGAAATGAAGCACTTCTAATTCGTAGAATTTTCCATAATGGCGGGTTCTCACGCGAGCTACTGGACACACGATCACCGCAATTATGACTTCATACTTTCATGTGTCGTTTCTGGTTCTTTCTAGTGTAATTCACGGATTGCGCAAACCTTGTACTTTCCCTTGGAGAAAGAGCAGTTGTTCGACGAGATTCAGAAACGCGTCGTAATCTTGCCTCGGGAACGAATCCGTGTCTCAATCAAAAACCCTATCGATTAATTATAATAATATCCGATCGATTATTTCGCCGCCATAAACACCGACAATTTTACGCTTCCCAATTTTCAAACCTCCCTATATATTTCCCACAATTTATTACACAATTTGCGTACACTTTTAACTTGAATATCAACTTGAGAGAATTTTAATATCTGCGTATTACAGAGTCCTGATTACAGGTTCGAGAGCGCTGAACGATCGTGCCTAACTCACTCGAAGAAAGGAAAAAACAGGCAAGAGTAACTTTCAGAGACGTGTTAGTAGGTATAACCGGTGAACGCAACGTGGACCCTGGTGAACAACTCGATACAAACGAGATAACGCAAATCGAAAGCCAAAGTGAAAGTTATTTTTCGTGATACAACGCGTATCCTAGCACGATCGCGAAGAATTAGTCCTGGCGAATTTTGTCTTCGCGTACGTCTCCGTACGTTCAGGAAAACTTCGTCGTATCGGATGAATTAATGCAGTCATCGACAATTGCGTAGACACGACGGTGCACTGAGTCCCGACTGATATTAAATAACCGATGATCGCGTAATTGTAATTAGACCGGTGTGTTTCACAAACGAGCGTCGGGAAAAGCGGTTGAAATTAGCGACAGCAGCTTTGCGGCGGCAAGAACCGCGATAATTTTCGCGCAAAATTACGCGAGACTCGCGATTCTTGAATTATCAATTTCACGTTTTTTTGCACACGGTTAATTACACCTGGTCGTTCCAGTTAGGAACACGCTTAAATCTCTTAACGACGCGATTGTACGCCAGAAGAGAAAATTCATTTAGTATTCACGCTTAAGCGTACGTGTTTACGTTCGATGGATATGCGAACGATTCGCAAATTTCCCCCCTCTTTTGCTGTTACACGCGTAATAAAGACGATACTCTATCGGTGCATTGAAATGTCAGTTGAAAGGCTGGACAAACGACACTTGTCCGGATTGAAGAAATTTATTTACCGATCGTGCATAATAGTTGAACGTAGAGGCCAGTCGAATAGCTGTACATTTCCACGTGTCTCGCGCTATCTATTACAAATAACTATATAATACTGTTTTGCATGCAATCTATCAGTGTACGGTGGCTCGCGAAAGTCTTCGCACGCTTTGTACGATTTTATGTCAACACAGATATTTTTACATCGCGTGATTAATATTGCGAAACTGTGTTTTCGATTATTTTTATGCAGCAATGGTTAAGTAAATTGAACGGGTTTCGGGAAACCGATTTGCATGGGTCGGAAGAAGAAGGAAAAAATTCTTCTGAAGCTTATTTTCGGGAAATAGAAGAGTGATTTGCAGGAAAAAAATTATCTTAAAACCGTAGTGACAAATTTTAATTTTTTCATTTCCCAAAAAAAAAGTAAGTTGGAATGTTTTCCTTCTTCCGAGTAACTACGTTTCCAATTTTCATCGCCTCAGAGTTCAGTATCGGAGAGTAAATCTCCATCTCTGTCTCTATTTTAATATCATATAGGAAAGCTTGCCAGTCCAGGCTTCCAGTAATCCGGCTGTCACTATCTACACACGACTGTCAGTAAGCAACGCTGTCAGAGAGTGGGGACGTTAAGAACGGAGCACTTGACACGAGGAAAGGAAAGGAACGAGACGAGGGAGGAAAGATATTGGAGGTGGCGTCAAGACCAAGCTGTCCGGGCCCCAAGGTAATATAAAGGCGTACGTCGACTTCACCTGGTTCAACTTACCTGGAACAACGAACAGCTGCGCTCTCCAACACGACTGAGAACGTCCGCCACTGCCACACCACTTTCTACCATCATGTGAGTCCCTTTAAACGATCCATTTTTGCAAATTGATCTGTTTTCTTTTTCCTTTTAATTTGGTAACTTCGATTGCTGTTCTGTTACAAGCGTCTTTTTGCGGTGGTAGAAATTTTGCTGCTATTTAACCCTTTGCTTTACGACTTTTCCATTGATACGTGTGTTAGCCTGAATTACTCGTTGTGTTAATAAATCTTAGATAAAAAGAAATTACAATATTGTATGAAATTTGGAATTGGTAAGCGTTAATCTTAAAGTGAAGCTGAACTTAGAGAAAAAATAGAAATTTAACGGAGGTACAATTTTTCTTTTGTCACATCTCGATCATGAGGAAAGGGTTAAGCCTGTCAAAATCGCTAATGCTGTCTTATTTTAATACGACAGTATACCTGTGATAAGGATTTGTCGAGGGAATATTTCTGGATTAATTAAACATATGGTTCGTGAAATGAGGACCTCGAAAGGGTTAACAGTTTGATACAATTCTGTACTTGAGAATCAGACTGGACCAGGTCCTCTATTGTAATTTTACAGGAAAATAAAGATACGTCAATGATAAGACAGCGTTGTATTTAAAATAATTCGAACAGTAAAATTTTTTTGAAATTGTACAATATTAAATATTAACATAATTTTGAAAAAAACAATTAAGTTGAGTTAATCTGTCTTTGAGGTACAGAATTTCATTTTGATATTTTTGAATGATCGAATGATTTGAATTTTACTTAACCCTTTACACTGACGATGTCGAAATATTTCAATAACGTGAAAATATTTCTCGCGATTGAAAGTAGCGAAACGAAACGTTTCGAATCGAACGGTCACGATAAACATCGCATCGAAAGTTATAACGCAGTATGACGATAATCGCCTGATGAATATGTACTACGCAGACGGAAAATTAGAATAATTTGCATATTCTGATCGTCTCGATCTTGCAGCGTACGAATTTTACGTTTCGAAAGTTAATACAACGACCGTTATTATATTACTTTTTTCACTTGGTTCACGATGACGATGCAGAATCTCTCTCGAGTATAAGCGAAGAAGATGATCCCACCGTACAGGCACACTTTATCTCGCTAATTTATATACGCCGCGATAAATGGATCAGATTTCACATCGTATTATGATGTATGCAGATGGGTTGCATAAGATGATGACGTTCCACCAAGATTTTCAGATTAATGTAAATCACCACTGATAGATAAGTCTTCTCATAAAATCTCCTCTTGGAATTTCTTAAAAAAGTCGTTACAAAATATAGCGGAAAAATAAAACAATTCCTCTGTAAAATTGTAACTACAGAATTTTTATTTCTCGAAAATAATTTTATACGATATTAATGTCACAGAGGAGCAGTGATACAACAGATCGTCGTATTTTCATTTCCAGAAATAGAAATCTGTTCTATTACGAGAAATTCAATTCACTCTTTTAAGAAGAATCTCTAATTGCGATGCGATCTGTAAACAGAATATCCCACAGAATTATCATTCGAGAAATGAAAACCCAACAATCCGTTCTATTACGAGAAATCCAATTCGCTGTTTAATACGAATCTCTAATTACAATGCACAATCACCGCACCTTGGAGCAGACGTAAAAACCTAAATACATTTTACGTAACGAGGTGATTGAAATCGTTTCTGCGAACATCGATAAAAGTCTGGAGCGTAACGCGGGTCTTCCGGGCCGAGTTCACCGCGCAACAATAGCCTTGCCGTTTCGATGATTAGCGAATATGTATGCGCGAGCTAATGGTTTTTTCCCGTATAATTGCAGAAAGTAGATAAAATTGAAAGGTGTTTACCGATGCGATCCGACGATCGCTGCATCGCCGGTGGTTAAACGAATTATCAATTCGTGCGATACGAAATCGATTACCTGAGAGCGTTGAGAAATTCTGAATTTTTCTGAAGTTTGTGCAACTCTTGGAGAATCTGAGGGCAATTTTTGAATTAAAAAACCGGTTTTCATTTCTACCTGAACACTTCATCTCACACGACTATTAAAATTTAAAATCCAATTTCTATTCATCCTTGAACAAGTTTCATATTACACAGTCTAATGGTACGATTATTAATTAATAGTTTTATGCATAATGACTCGAGTGTTGAGAAATTCTGAATTTTTTATTCTGTTTGTGCGATTCTTGATCTCGAGATAATTTTTTAGTGAGAAAAGCTGCTTCTCGATCCTCCGTGGATACTTCGCATCACGCGATTATTCAAATTTGAAAATTCCTCCCTGACGAAGTTTCATATTACACAGTCTAATGGTACGATTATTAATTAATAGTTTTATGCATAATGACTCGAGTGTTGAGAAATTCTGAATTTTTTATTCTGTTTGTGCGATTCTTGATCTCGGGGTAATTTTTGAATGAAAATAGCTGCTTCTCGATCCTCCGTGGATACTTCGTATCACGCGATTATTCAAATTTGAAAATTCCTCCCTGACGAAGTTTCATATTACACAGTCTAATGGTACGATTATTAATTAATAATTTTATGCATAAGTGATGACTCGAGTGTTGAGAAATTTTCTCGCGTTCAAGTATGTGCAATTCTTGATAAATTACTGTTAGAGAAACTCGGGGTAATTTTTGAATGAAAAAAAACTGCTTTTCAATTGCAATTTCCAAATTTGAAAATTCCTTACCGGGCAGGTGTCATATTATCCGCGCAAATGGCGCGATTATTAAAATTGATTATTACAGAGGCATGAACCGGTCACGTTTATTGTTATCCCGGTTAACGTGGGCGACAGAAACGTGTCGCACGTGAGATCCTCGCCTTGAAGCCCGTGAAAGTGAAAGGATTTCTGATTTTATCTTGCACAAGTAAATGCGATTCAGGGGTTAAAAGTGCACCGCGCCGGTTATTCCCGCCACCAAACGGCGCAGTCTCATTTTTATCCTTTATCACGGCCTCTAATTAACGCGTTACAGATAATCATCAGCAAAGAACGAACATTCCTTCCTTCATTACCACGAACTTTCTTAATTCACTATTTTCTACATTATCCTCGTAAGAGAGGAATATTTTTGCAACATCGTTTTCAACGGAAAATTCAAACTTTCTCGAAACTTGTTTAAATTAAGTCATTATAAACTGAGCAGGTTGAAAATGAGTAATTCCCAGAATTGGTAGACCACGATATTGAAAACTTCGACGAATTTTTGTGACGTTATTCTTGACGAAAAATTGAAGCTTCGGTGGACTGTTATTTAAATTAGATTATTGTCAGGCGAGAAACCAGGTTATCGAAAGGCGGACAAATGGCGATAAAGAAAATTAAGAATGATGAACGTATAATGAACCAGTATATCGCGACTTTCACCCGACACAAGGTAGAAAGTTCAGTGCTACGGTTGATCGTGCTTAGCAGAATGAACGCTTCTTTTTGCTTTCGTCGCGCTAAGTGTACGATTAATAGAGCGAGACCAGAGGTTGTGGAAAATTTTCCGCTCAGTTTCATGAACTATCACGATGCAGAATCGTTGCACTTCGCAACATAAATATCCCATTTTTATTAAATAATTTCAGCCATCGCTCCGTCAAAAATTACCTAATACTGTTACTCAACAAGTGTTACCTAATAGAACAACATTAACAACGATGCATCAGCACTGTTCGAAAATTTATTCGAGTAAATATTCTCAAGATTTCACTGGCTGCGAATAATGCATTGATAATTGGCGCAAAATGCGGAGAAGTCGCGATTTCCATCGACCGGAGAACCAAATCGAGCAGGTTCGAAAACGAAAGCGGTCGGAGATAAGAGCGAAACGGGGCAAAAGAGGATAAATAATAAGGAGAGGAGAAAAAGACGTGAAGCGGACGGAGAAGTAGCCGCGAGCAGTGAAAGTCGCGCAAGCCGGGTTGAACTTTGCCAAGAATGGTCACGCCGGTGATTTAACGCGATCCCAGCGAAAAAATAAATGAGAAAAAATTATAAAAGTGCCCCCGAACGCCCACTTGAACTCTTGCGCAAGAAACGGTCGATGGTTTATTTTTTTTCTCTCTTACCGGCATAAAGACCGTATACTATAACCACTTTCGGTGCAACGTAAAAATCGAAGTTTCTCTTTTCTTCTTTTACGATTACACCTTTTTTTTTCTTGTTTTTCTAAGAACGTTTATGTAATCCAACGATTCAGGAGGAATTCCAGTAGTTAATGTATTCCGAGATAAGCACAGGTAGGAATCGCAATTTGTTCTAATTAAGACACCTTTTAGCGATTAAAATTCTTTGTTTCGAGTTTAATTGGGTTTTTTTAGAGAATCTTTTTCGCGATTAAGGAAGTATTAGAAGTCGGTTATTTCCTTATTCTATTAAACAGTAATAAAGATAGGGAGCAATTATGTTCGCGATAAATCGCGTGTATGTAAAACGATAAGCAGTGAGTCACGAACGATTATCTATGGTTACGTGAAACCCAGAGAAATGTAAAGTATGATCATTAGCTTACGAACAGTTTGTGAATAAAATGTAATCGAGTTGTAGGTGTATTTTAAACGGTCGTTACAGTTTTCGTGAAAAATTCTGATTTTAGGGTGGTGTGGTCGGTGTTGCTACTAGCAACAGTTCTTCTGGCGGAGGCAGCGATACCAGATCCACCAACTTCCGGTATCACGACCGTCGGCTCTTTGAAACTAGCTACAGCTGCTGACTGTGCTGGCGTTGTTGCTTTCTCGGCAACTCAGGCTTCTGTCGACGTAAGTGCCTCTTTTTTTGATTTTTCAAAATTCTTTGAAAAATTATTCAGCGATCAGCAAAAAATATAATTTCGAAGTTCCGAATTTGCATAATAGTACACTTCTATATATGGAAGATTACTATTATCCTCATCTCAGTGTATCATTTATTAGACATTATTTTGTGAAAAAATTACTTAGAATTTGTTGCTTGAGAAATTTGAAAATTTGGTAATTTCAATTTTCAATATTTCTATTTCATTTACTGGCATACCAAAGTCGAATTTACACACTTCGACGTAATAAAAATGGAAGATCAGCGATACGTGTGTCATTTGTTAAAAATTATTTTAAGAATCACTAAGAATTCGTTGCTTCAGAAATTTGAAAATTTGGTCAATTTCTATTTTATTTACCAGCATGCCAAAGTCGAATTCGCACACCTCGACGTAATAAAAATTGAAGATCAGTGATACGTGTATTATTTATTAAAAATTATCTTACGAAAGAATCACTTACAATTCGTAACTCGAGAAATGTGAAAATTAGGTAAATTTAATTAGAAATATTTCGATTTGTTTTATTTACCAGCATGCCAAAGTCGTGCTAGCCGAGACACTGGTCGACAAAGGCGTGGGTTACGTCGCCCAAACAGGAATTTTCATCACCCATTGTCCAGGCCTCTATCAATTCAGCTTCGCCGGATATGGAAGCACCGATCTTACTCTCACACTGAAAAAGAAATCGAGCAACGCTGACAACTGGAGGCCTGTGGTCAGCGCTGGTCCAGGAGGTGGTGCTAATTTAGTCTTGCTGGATCTCGAAGCTGGTGAACAACTCGCTGTTTTCGTCGACACTGGAAAGATAACAGACGGTGTTACGTTCTCTGGCTACCGAATTGCCAAGAAATAATTCGCTAATTTTCGACAATCAAAAAAAAAAAAAAAAAAAAAAAAAACCACGAACACCAGGACCACTGTTCTTTCTTTCAAAGAAAATATTCAACAGAACGATCGTCGAGAGATTCGATCCAAGATGAATTCAAACCAACAAATGTGACAACGTGGAATTGTTCTTTAAAAAAAACAAAGAAATGTTACTTCAGCAATCAGAAGTATTTCGAAGTTGATACATTTGGAACGATCGATCAACGTGGTACCAAAAAGTACAAAAAATTAAGAGAGACTTATAATCTTCGATGGATTGGAATTTTTGTAAACGAGTCTCTATGAACGATTATTATTGGATCGTCGACGGTGTTCCTAATTGGGAAATGTTCGATCAGAGCGGTTACAAACTTCTCCACGAACCTAACGCTCTGTGATAGCTCTCTTTCTACGTTCATTTCTCCTATCGTCTCGTGATTTCATTGATCTCCTGTTTCAAACAACTCAACATCGCATCGGCACGGATCAGTGAAATTACGAGACACGCTGAATCTCTTCGCGATTAGCTAAATTGGTACACTATCTTTCTTTTTTTCCTTTTTTTTACATCTCTATCCTGTTTCTCTTCACTCTGTAAATTATTTCTATCCTGTCGACTACTTTAGTACAAATTTTCGTTTAAGTTTCACACACTTTATCTCCTACCTTTATAAATACTCTTCGCTATTCTTCTTCGAAACTGATCTCCTGGTACTGTACACTATTTCTTTCTATTTTCCATTTTCTACTCTTTTCTTTCTTACGTTCTCTGTTCTTTTCTAAATTTCTTTATTTCATCTCTACCGTTACTTGTACACTTTCCTCGAATACCTATCAGTATTACAGTCTCGAAATTTCTCGAATTTGCCATAAAATATTCCCTATTTATGTTTACCTCTGTGTGACTATTTTTCTTCCGCTTTCTTTCTCTTCTTTCTATCTCGAAACCTGTCTCGTACACTTCCTGTCTTATCATTTTCTTTCTCTCGCCACGCTATAACGCCACGCTAATTACGGCTACTGTGTCACTGCAAGCAGTATTCGATCTCTTTCGCCGTGTTACTCTTTTAATGACAGACTTTCACCAACAGTTCTCCGTGTCTTTCTTTGTCGTTCTATTTTTCTTGTATTTCAGTTAGTTTTTATTCCTTCAATGTGAATTCCAGCATACTGAAGCACCTGAAATGTAACACAGTACAACAAACCTTCATTCCTAGGTGCTACTTTCCTTTCATTTTACTTTTCTTTTTTTTTAACCATTTATTTTCTTCAAAAGGTTCACTGTTCTCACGCTGTCTCTATTCTGATCCGTTTCGCGTCCTTCTCTAACCGTGTGCTGTGTTGCTTTTTTCAATCTGTTTATCTTCGCTTTCTTCCTCTAATCTCTTCTACTGTTATCTCTTTCTACATACTCCTACCTTCTGATTACTTTCAATTTCTAATATAAAAATCGTTTTTTTTTTATAATTATGTTTCTTTTTTTCTATTCACTGTTACGATCTATTAAGTTTTACTATATTTTTATTCCTTGTTACTTAAATTTTATTTCAATTCTACCCACTGCTCTCCTCTATTTTTTCTGTCTTCTACGTTTCTTTCACTTCCTCTTTCTGTTTCTGTATTTTATTCTGTTCTTTCTCATTTCGTCTGAAAATCTGAATATCTCTTTTATTACACTATGTATATATGAGATCTGTTATTTCTACTTCTTCAAAAACTTCACTTCTATTTGCTCCAAACTGTGCTTCCTTTCCAAAAATTCTCAAATTCTACTATTTTCTCTGTCCTCTTTTCACGATACTTTTATTTTCCACTTTGTACTTCACTATCTATCAGCTGCTTCTTCCGTACCTCGACTTTTTATGTTCTCTTTTTTCAATTTTATAAATCTATCTACTATTCTTCTATACTTCCACTCTTTCTTTCATTTCTCTCTCTTTTTCTCCAAACCTTCTTTCACTCGAAAATGCAAATTTATTAAAAAATTTGTCAGGAATTCATCGCCAGAAACGCGGTGCCCTCTCTAGTCCTAATACCGATTGTAAAATTGCTTCAATAATTCTACACGCTCTAATTCTACAAGCTATCTCCTCTCTTTTCTCTGTCTCCAAAAAATCTGTTCAATTTCATCTTACACATTTCTCTCTCTCTAAATCTTCTTCTCAAATTTCTCTCTTCTGTTCTTCACTCGATGTTCACTCTTACTTTTCTCTCCTCTCGTTCTCTTCTCTATCTCTCCACGAAACTATCTAAAATCTTACGCGTATTCTTTCACACGCCGAAAGAACCGTCCAATAAGCATGACAATGAAAAAGAAGAACGCGTCGTGAAACGAAAGTGTACAGTTCGCCGTTACTTTCGAACCAGGAAGCCGCGCGTTCTCCCCTTATCTTCTCTCGTCTCTAATCTAGTCTTCCAACCTCTCGTTACCTGGATCTGTCCTACGAAAAACAAAAGAAGAACACTATCCAAAAAAAAAAAAAAAAAAAAAAAAAAAAAGAACAATGCGTAATTCTCCTTATGCTGTGATTCTCAAGTGCTATAAGTCGTTTACGCGAAAACCTAATGGTTTAAACCGCGATGCATTATCGAAACTGTAGCCACTGCACTGTTTACTTGTTTCTATTCTGCTAAAGAAGATAAAACAGCCACTTGTTTCCTGTATCAGGGTAAATTTACTACTTTTAATTTTTTTTTTTCTTCTCCTGTAAAGTGTAACAGTTGCTCGATCTAATTTCAATCGCGTGTATTTATTACTGTCTTCTCTTGAACTGGATAATTTCATTGAAGTTGAAGTTTGTTCGTTTAGTTTCTAGATGGAAAATATGGAAGAAATTCGATGGAAGATCGAGCAACTATTCACCGAGTTTCAACTATCTGTTTACAATAAACGATCGGCTCTTACATCTCTGTCTTTCTTTTTATCAACTCTACTCTACCTGTTCTTTCTCTCTTTCACTCTATTTCTCTACCTCTTCTCACGTTCTGTCTCATGTTCTCTCCTACTTTTTTTTTTTTTATCTAAATGTAAATAACGAAAATTGACAACTCCAAAAAGAATACGCGTTTTTCCATGTCTCTTTTCGCTTGAGCTCTGTTTTTTTCTTTTCTTTTTTTTTTTTTTGCTATCACAGCGGTTACGTTGTCGAGAAGCTTCCAAAAGAAAAAAGAAAGCAAGATTGACTGTTTCAATGAGAGGAAAATGTTATTCAGCCGTGGAAAAAGCGTGCGCTTAGCTGCGAACAGTGCGCATTACACTTTTGTTTTTTGTTGTTTTTTTTTTATACAATTCTGATTTTTTTCTCTGTAAAGTTTCGCAATAATAACAATCTTGTACGCAATTACTTTGTTTTGTTACTTTGTACAGTACTTTGAATTGTTTACATTCCGCATACCTGGAGTAAACAAATTTTATCTACATGGTCAAATGTTGAGTTCCACGCTCCCGCCTAAATATCCTTTGTAATTCTCGAGCACGGGATACACTTCCTCGTCCATGAAGTCGACCACTTGTTCGGGTGCTCGGCCAACGAACGTTCGAGGATCGAGAAGATCGTTCAGTCGATTGAGAATCGGCGCGAAGTATGGATCTTTCTTTATCCTGTCGACTAGGTCGTTGTCTCGACCGTGTTGCTTCACTTCAGCGCCGGCTTCTTGCGATAGCACTCTTATTTTTTCGTGGCAAACCTGTCGAAGAGGTGGAATATTGATTATCGATTTCATTTGGAAGAGTAGCTTGTTTAGAAGACTAGAAAAAATTGGAAATCGTTTAGTCGAAAGAATAATTACTTTCGTTTAAAATGAATTTAGAAGAATTTTGTATTTTACAATTTGGTATAATTAAAATAATTTGAATCTTAGATTATTTAAAATTCTTTTCAGATTGCTTAAATATTAGATTAGTAATTTTGAAGGAGTAAGTTACCGTTAAAATATGAAGAATAATTAGAAAATCTCACCTGTCTGTCGCCTCCAGCCTTCACCATGGCCATTATTATATTTTCCGCGGTCATGAAAGGCAATTCTTGAGCGACATGCCTGGCAATAACTTTAGGATAAACAACCATACCCTCCGTGATGTTCTGAAGAGTCATCAGAATTACATCTGCCGATAGGAATGCTTCTGAAAGAGTGATCCTTCTATTGGCAGAATCATCCAACGTCCTTTCCATCCACTGTGTCGCTGCGGTTTGCAAAGCATTGTTAGCTAAAGTCATCAAGTGTCGTGCTATACTGCAACACCTCTCTGAACGCATTGGATTCCTTTTGTATGGCATTGCACTTGATCCAATTTGAGTAGTTTCGAATGGTTCCTCGACTTCTTTCATGTTGGCCAAAAGTCGAATATCGGTACATATCTGAGGGAAACGGAAATTAAAATATACACTGGAGATATTACAGTGATAGGTATTGTTAAAAATTGGAGATATTAAAAATTGGGGATATTAAAAATTGGGGATATTAAAAATTGGGGATATTAAAAATTGGGGATATTAAAAATTAGAGATATTAGAAATTGGGGATATTAAAAATTGGGGATATTAGAAATTGGGGATATTAAAAATTGGGGATATTAAAAATTGGAAGTATTAAAAATTGGAGATATTAGAAATTGGGGATATTAAAAATTGGGAATATTAAAAATTGGAAGTATTAAAAATTGAGGATATTAAAAATTAGAGATATTAGAAATTGGGGATATTAAAAATTGGAGATATTAGAAATTGGGGATATTAAAAATTGGAAGTATTGAAAATTGGAAATATTGAAAATTGGAGATATTAGAAATTGGGGATATTAAAAATTGGGAATATTAAAAATTGGAGATATTAAAAATTGATTAAAAATTGGGAATATTAAAAATTGGAAGTATTAAAAATTGAGGATATTAAAAATAAGAGATATTAAAAATTGAAGACATTAAAAACTGAAGACATTGAAAATTGAAATTTACCTTGTGAACAGTAGCACCTAAAGAACTAAGAGCATTCAAGCATTCCACGTCGACTTTTCTACTATAAGTTTGTCCTGTTACAGGGTAGTGCTTCTCGAAGCCGGCCATTTTGGTCACTAGTCGATCTAACTGCTTCACTCTCTCCCCATCACCTGTACAAATCACAAATCAATGAGAAAAAAAAACTGATACACCCTCAATCAAAGTTTCCACTCGCATTTTAAAAATATAATAACCATTAAACAACTGAAGAAACGAAGCTTGAGTGCCAGTTGTGCCTTTCACGCCTCGAAACTTCAGATCGTCCCTGGCACGACGAAGTGCTCTCTCGTCCATCAAGAGATCGTGAAGCCACAAAGTGGCTCGTTTTCCAACAGTGGTAAGCTGAGCAGGTTGAAGATGAGTGAATCCCAACGTTGGCAAATCACGATGGTCCGTCGCGAATTTCGCGAGTCGCGACAAAACGTTCGCCAATTTTGGCAGCAGAATGTCGAATCCTTGACGAAGAATGATCAAATCCTTGAAACATCAACACGACTCTCGTTGTAAAATTTTCCTTGCAAATTAAACGCATTCTTCGTTGAAAAATGACATTGAAATTGCTAATATTCGTTAATAAAATTGACAAATGACATTGAAATTGCTAATATTCGTTAATAAAATTGACAAATGACGTTTAAATTACCGTGTTATCGCCAACATAGCAACTGGTCGCACCTAAGTGGATTATAGGAGCAGCTTTTGGACACTGATTGCCGAAAACATGGACGTGAGCCATGACATCGTGTCTGGTGGCCTTTTCTTCCTTTGCTGCTGCATCGAAGTCGATGTCGTTTATGTGATCCTCCATTTCGGCGATTTGATCTGCTGTAATAGCTAAACCGAGTTCCTAGAATAATATTGCATTTTGTACAACGTATCTTGTCCTCTTCGTTTTAAATATCAAAGGATTTTCTAATACGGCATTATTATCGTCGTTATTATAAATTAATTTGCTAATTAGGTCAATTAAGAATAATCGTGCGTAGATACAGAACGGTATCTTAAAATATTCTCATCGTTTCATCGATATCCCCGTAATAAATTGCGAAGTATCGAAGCACCGAGGAGAGTGAATAACAATAAACGTTATATTTCGGTGCGATCGAGTAATATTATCATTAATGATAATACAGTATAAACGTACAGGTGCTTTCTACACGTCTTATCCTTCTTTCGACGTACGCTGTATCATCTGATTAGATAAAGAGGGCTTGGTACCGGGTTGGAAGCATCCAGCACGCTTTTATTTCATTCGGTTCACCTGTTCTCGCCGTGAAAAGTTCGCAACGAGGATAGTAAGCATGGTGTCGTTAGAAACTGTCGCGAGTATAGTGGTAAAGGGTCTGAAATTGGTGAGAAGAAACACTCTTCTACTCTCGTTCGTAGGAAAGAAATCATAATAATCGATAATTCGTGAATACACAGCGAAGAATAAAATTGAAAATTATAATTAAACGACGATTAATTGGAAGATTTTATCAATTTAACAATTTGTGATTTCATAAATTTCACGGTGCATATATAAAAATAACATAATCTTCCTTTCGTGACAAAAAATAATATTATTGCAATTTGTTGAAATTGCACAAAAGATAGATACTAGTGCAATTGTTTAAAAAAAAAATTATTTCAGCGAAAATATCTTTTATCGAAAGAACGACAATAATACAGAAGTATGTGTTAGAAAATCGTGATTAATAGCTCTAACAGTAGTAAAGAGAATTACTCACAGTGGGAAAATGTTAGTAATTTCACAGAGATTTAATCACGCGATTAATCCTGATATTTCAGCGAAAATATCTTTTATCGAAAGATATTTCACGACAATAATACAGAAGTATGTGTTAGAAAATCGTGATTAATAGCTCTAACAGTAGTAAAAAGAATTACTCACAGTGGGAAAATGTTAGTAATTTCACAGAGATTTAATCACGCGATTAATCCTGTGCATGAATGCCAATTTCGCCAATTAGCGTAATGCAGCTACGTTTGTAAATCATCCTAACTAGACTCATTCAAGAAGCATTTGTACATACTAGTTCTATGATTCATTTCGGTCCTTATCGGCGTACACGATAAGCAGCCGTGTTTGCAGTGCGATACGACGCCCTTTTTAACGTACAGTATCGCGATATATCTGTACTACTTTTTTTTTATTAGAACCAGTCTTTCCCGAAGAACTAAGGAAATGCTGAAATATTAACGCGTCCAACTATTTGCTTCCTCGAAGCTTTTTACCTGTGATCACGTGGACATTTTTTGAAACACACACGACACTGCGTTGAACGATTTTATCCTTCGTATTCACCAATTATGATTTACCATTACAGAAAATTAAAGCTAGATAAAGAATTAAAAAAGAAATAGTAAAATTCGATGGTTTGTTTTCGTCTCCTTTTTCATCTCTTTGTCAATTATTCTTTCAGATTATTAATCTCATAATCCTGATCCTGTATCGAGTAGGATACAAAGGAGAATTCCTCGGTGTCGGCGGAACATGGAATTTAAACGAGGACAAAAATCCGGACGCGGAAATCGTTGCCTCGGGAGTTCTAGTAGGATTTTTCATATACACTAGCGTTGTTCTCATCACCTATTGCTTTGGAAGCACCAATCACAAGAGGACACTCGTCGTAAGATTATTTCTCAAGTTTCGGACAGAGTATCTATTTTACGATTCTCTTCTCGGAGAAAATCATGAATGAAAATTTGTATTTTTAATTAATTGCGATCAATTTTACTTTAAAGAAGAAACTAAATTTTTAATTTCTTCTTACAAATGTACACTTTTTCCGTAGGAAATTATCATGAACTTCGTTGGAACTTTCATGTTCATCGCTGTCGGTGGCACAGCGCTTCATTATTGGCACGGTTATCAACCGGAAAATAAATTCGACACGATTGTCCAAGAACGACAGGTGATAAAACAGTTAAAACATTAATTTCTCTCTGATTGAAAAATAATGAGAGAAAAGTTTGTCCAATATTTTTGCAGCCTTGAAAATTCTGCAATTTAATTTACATCGAATTACGATATTTTTCAGGTGGGCTTAGCTGTCGGATCGTTATGCGTTATCGAAGGTGCAGCGTACCTCGTGGACTTGATACTGAGTTTTCTGCATTTCGCGAAGAATCACGACGAGTTCTTAGAATAAAGTCAAAGTTCTACGCGTGACATTCGGAATTGTCATTTCGTCGCGTGTCACGAAAAGACGACTAATCGGAGAAGCTTCGTTGTTGCAAATAAAGAAAAGTTCAGTGTGTTGTGATCCCGCGCGAACATAAAGCATCTTTCATGATAGATAAAGTATGGTCATTATTTATGCTAAGTAAAGACGTAAGAAAGTCGAGAAAATTTTTGACTAATTCACCGTTCGATTAACTATTCCACGAGTATTCGTCACTCACGTGTTAATGTTTTGTACCGATTCGACAATGCGTGATACAATGTTTTGTACTTGAGTTATCGATAAGGTGTATTATTAAATGTAAGAAGTAGCGTACGAGATAGTATTTAATTTTTATAAAACATTGCTACATTTTTATTTCATAGAGCATGTAAGTCGTTCGTAATTACCTGTTCTGACAAAATTTTCGGATAATAAAACAACGTTATTTTAACACTGTACAAATTTTAATAAAAAATTCATACACACATATTAAAAAGCTAAGTTAAAATAAGGAATATTTTATCGATACGAGTGAAATTATTTTTCAAGAAAAAGATCGCCAACGATTCAGAGAAAATCTCGATACTCAAGATCAACTATTTGTGCTAAACTTCGCGACGATAGAGGGTTAGTTCGATTAGTATGTTTCCCCACATACGTCGCCTATTGAAAGACTTCAGTTTTCTCTTGAAAGTGCACGAACTGGTAAAGCAATCGTTCCATTCAAAGAATCACAATTACATTCGAATTTTGATCAAAATTTCTCCATCATTTTTAGATCATAGCTATCGTTTGCCTGCAAGAGCTCTCCAAGTACAATGAATTCTCGATACCAAGATGGTTGTGGATCATTTATTGCATCGACGTGTCCACGTACAGTGTCATCTATTTCTCCATCGCGATGTCGCATATTTTTGAAAAACCTCGTATTATACTAGTCAGTCTTATTTCATTTCGATTAACGATACTATTCGATTTTTTTGCATTACCAGTAATTACAGATTTATCTTCAAAATGAAGCACCTTGTGGTTCCATTTGAACAGAATATTCTGAGGATAATTTCAATCAAAATCTTTAAACAGTTTCATTTTTTCCCCCCAATTTCATTTGTAGGAATTCACGTATTTCACACTGGGAGCGACTTTTCATTTGATAGGCGGAATTGCAGGGCTTTCAAGAGCACGTTACGAATCTCCGGATGATACTGACGTACCACGAAGTGAATTAAAAATCGGGCTACTGTTAATGGGTGCATACCTTTACCTGCAATTTTTCTTATCACTGCCACTGAGAAAACCTGTAAAAATTCTGTAAATTTTCAGGTAACTTTATTGTGCTATTTTGCGAGGCAGCTCACATAGCCTACACAGAATATCCTAAGATAAAACCGCGCAACAACAACACTTAGGAATGTCGAAAAGTGGAATAATCGATAAATAAATATCTTACATTCATACATAGTCTTCGTTTCTTCAATAAAAAAAAATAAAGCACAGTCACATTTAAAAAATATTCTCCTATTTATCACGTGCTTCGATTCTCGTTGCACGATTAAATCGATACGGTGTGATCGATTCTTGGAGCGCTCAAACTTCCGGTGCATTCAGGAGGAATCATTTTGAAACAAAACATCGTCGTGAATTTCCTATCGTTTCCACCGATCAGAGAAGATTTGCAAATGTTGCACAATCGATGACATAATTATTGCGAAGAAAATGGGCAATATACCGGTACCTATCCACAGCTTCAGATTAAACGAGTGGGCTGTCGAGAAGAAACTGCTGATATGGAGAATGTTATCTATGGTATATTTCGGTCAAATATTTGATCGAAACCTCAAAAGAAAAAAAAAACGTATTTGATCGAAACTTGGAAAAAAAAGATACAAGTTAAATTCTTCGATTTAAAATTCTTTTTACAGTCTGCTTGCATAATAGGCACAGCAGTTTATCTGCGTCCGTTGGAACCGTATCTGGATGTTCCAGCTTTCGGAATTTTAGTGCCTACCTTTATAACTGGTTACATTCTAATAAATTCTTCGGAAATTTTGCTCTTGTACATGAAGCAGGACTATATCTTTCTCGTGAGTAAGTGAAGAGTGTAGTAAAAATTCGTGGATCGATTGAAAATGAAAATTTAACAAATTCACGGTAGATTACGTAGAAAGATTAATTTATATTCATGAAGGAAACGTGCTTTACTGTAATTGGCGCGATTGGCAGTCTAACTTGTGGCAGTTACCAGTTTTACAAGTGGGCAGATTGGGTAGCTGATACTTCTGGTAATTCTATCGACGACTACGAGTAAGTGTGAAATGCATTTTCTTGTTTTTTTTTTCAATATAACAAAGAAGCTTGTTAATTGTAAAATAAGGTTTATTAGACTATCAATCTGTTCCAGTACGCCAGAATTAGTTCTAGCCTTCGCCTTCATGCTCCATTTCGTTTCTTTAACTGCTGTGATCGTTCTTCGTGTACTTGAGCAACGTCGATCGTCGAATCGAGATGAATAATACAAGCTAATTTCTCAAGGAGATTGCGACATAAAGTTTGTACAATTCTACGTGTAATTTACAGGCTAAGATCTAAGCTCTAACGCGATTTTGAATAAAATTCAAAATGTATTGAGAATAATTTCAGAGAAATGATTTCGATCGTCGAATCGAGATGAATAATATACTCTAATTTTTCAAGGAGATTACGATATAAAGTTTGTACAATTCTATGTGTAATCTGCACGCTGAGATTTAAGTTCTAACGTGGTTTTTAATAAAATTCAAAATGTATTAAGAATAATTTTAGAGAAATGATTTATCGATTTATTCCAAGGATAGTAGATAGAATTCTCGAGAAACAGAGACGCGGGTTATTTCCTGCAAATGTAGATCGAGAATTGGAAGGAGGAGGAATGGGTGGCACGGGACAAATGAATCATAAATGAAGCCTAAGCGAGTACTGTAGTAAGGAAAGTTAAGGAGGGTTGCAGCAGCGGCCGCGACATGCATCAATTACCCTACTTGACCTCGTAATCATTGTAAATGACCGGTACAATCGTACACCCACGATCCGGATACATAATCGCGTTAATTATGAACGTTTGCGGTAATTTAATTTCTCGAAGCTCGGTCCGAACTTTCAACAAATTAACAAAAAAAAAAAAGAGTAACAAGTAAAATGCAAATATTACAAAAGGAAATAATTGAACGAAATAAAAAAAAAAATAGAATAATGTGAAGAAATAAATTTACAATTTTCACCGATTCATTTCTTTCGTCGATGAAGTAACTCTTGATATAAAAAAAAATTGTACCTATAATGATTAAATTACGCGAAAAGTACGAAACAGTTGTAACGTGTTTTCAACGGTGGAATTTTCTGAAGCGGAAATCACGGTTCGTAGTTCAAGATCGATAGGCAGATCGCATAATCGTCGTTGAAGACCAGGCCGCACCTACTGACCTAGTGAACACGTGATCCTACGTGTACGCACGTTTCTGAATGCGTTACACGGTGTGCGACGATATTCACACCTGCATGAACGATCGTATAGTATAGTTTTTCTGTAATAGGAGTAGCTACGTGTTAAGACTATTACGTAATTAAAAAATAACGTGTCACCTATATAAGGCGAGCTTTGTTACATTGTTCACTGCGCTTTAGTGCGTTCTTTAATTGTTTTTTTTTTTTTAATTGTTCCTTTTGGAATTGATACGCAATTACGTAGAAGTACAGATTCCTTCTTTCTTCCCTTTATTCTGTATGAATTCAAATTCAAACTACTTGTTGCATTGGGTTTGACACTTTTTTATTTAGGACTAGAACATGGCTTTAATAGGATACAAAGTTGAAAATTCTTTTCAAATTTTTGATCAATTTTTAAAATTTACGATCAATACTGAATGACTGAATCTTAATGAAATGATAAAATGTTGGGTCTGACGCTTTTTTATTTAGGACTAGAACATGGTTTTAATAGGATACAAAGTTGAAAATTCTTTTGAAATTTTTGATCAATTTTTAAAATTTACGATCAATACTGAATGACTGAATCTTAATGAAATGATAAAATGTTGGGTTTGACGCTTTTTTATTTAGGACTAGAACATGGTTTTAATAGGATAAAAAGTTGAAACTTCTTTTGAAATTTTTGATCAATTTTTAAAATTTACGATCAATACTGAATGACTGAATCTTAATGAAATGATAAAATGTTGGGTTTGACGCTTTTTTATTTAGGACTAGAACATGGCTTTAATAGGATACAAAGTTGAAAATTCTTTTGAAATTTTTGATCAATTTTTAAAATTTACGATCAATACTGAATGACTGAATCTTAATGAAATGATAAAATGTTGGGTTTGACGCTTTTTTATTTAGGACTAGAACATGGCTTTAATAGGATACAAAGTTGAAAATTCTTTTGAAATTTTTGATCAATTTTTAAAATTTACGATCAATACTGAATGACTGAATCTTAATGAAATGATAAAATGTTGGGTTTGACGCTTTTTTATTTAGGACTAGAACATGGCTTTAATAGGATACAAAGTTGAAAATTCTTTTGAAATTTTTGATCAATTTTTAAAATTTACGATCAATACTGAATGACTGAATCTTAATGAAATGATAAAATGTTGGGTTTGACGCTTTTTTATTTAGGACTAGAACATGGCTTTAATAGGATACAAAGTTGAAAATTCTTTTGAAATTTTTGATCAATTTTTAAAATTTACGATCAATACTGAATGACTGAATCTTAATGAAATGATAAAATGTTGGGTTTGACGCTTTTTTATTTAGGACTAGAACATGGCTTTAATAGGATACAAAGTTGAAAATTCTTTTGAAATTTTTGATCAATTTTTAAAATTTACGATCAATACTGAATGACTGAATCTAACTAAACTGATAAAGTGTTAACAAATAATCGATGTTAAAAATATTTTTCGCTGCATGGTATTTAATAGTTGTTTAGTCAACGTCGAAATATTTTCGGAAGTAACTGTAACTGGACATTGACTCGAACCTGTTCCATATTTGCCATAATGTCACCGGCTTATTACTCAGCCATCTCGATATTTACACTGCATATACATTTACCGTGTCATGGTCGTAACGTTGTAACCTTCCTCAGCCTATACCTACTCTTTATCAAGTTCCCTCTTTAATTTAACATTCAGTCGCGTTGTTAAAAGTCAGTTTTTTCTTTTTTCGATCCACGAATGAATTACTAGGTCAACGAAACAGGAATTTCTAGAGTAAGAGAAATGACAGAGAATCGAGTGTGTTCTATCCTTTTCCGAACGAACGATCAAGAATATTCTCGTTCTCGCGAATTGAAAGACGACACGCGGTATGAAATGGAGGAAAACGGAGCTTCGAATAGGAATTATGTATTTCGTAATATTACTCAAGAGAGTAATAGGATCGAAGTACGTAGCCGCTGGTGGACATGACCATTGAGATCGGTTTAAGGAAGAGAATTCGCGACGGCCTTTTATTCCGGCGCTCTCGACCCGATCCTACTTTCGTTCATGCATGCTTAATCGTGACGCCGCCGTCGTGCAGGAACCTTTTGCACGTGTACACATCCGCAATGCACGTCCACACAAATTATACACCATGAGTCACGTGAACAACAGAGCATGCTTCGACGCACCAACAGCACGTGCTCGTGAATTAAATGCCGTAGTTTACCTCGTCCTTCGTCACAGGCTCCGATTACCTGAGCCCTTTTTCGAATCACGGCTGGCACGCGTCACGAAATTATTCGACTGTTTTGCACTCCTGCACGAGGGAGATTTGAAACAAATTTATTTGGGATTTTTAGGGGAAATTTTGGTCCGATTCTCGATGAGATTGGGAAATTTTGGGATTATTGGGAACGAAGGAATTTAATTCTCGAAGATGTTAACTTCTGTCTGTGTCAAGTTTCCTTGAGAGTTTTAGAGCTCTTGGAGTTCAGAAATTATCTCGACGAGTTTGAGAAATTTTGGGATCTTTGGAATCGAAGAAATTTAATTCTCAGAGATATTAACGTCTGAGTTTCCTTCAGAGTTTTCGACTGCTTTAGATTTTTGGACGACGGACTTTAAAAAATATTTATCTCGGATCCTCGTGGAAATTTAGATTAATTCTCGATGAGTTGGAGAAACTTTGATATCATTGAAAAGGAAGAAATTGAATTGTCAACAAATGTGTTAATTTTCGCTCGCTAACTAAGTTCCCTTCAAAGTTTCAGAGCTCTCGGAGCTCAGAAATTATCTCGATGAGTTTGAAAAGTTTTTGGATCATCGCAAACAAAGAAATTCCCTCCAATTTTCCAGCTCAGAAATTACGATAATTGACAACAGCTTAACATATATATCTGTTCAGTATCGTTCATCATTAGTGTCACCCAATAACACGTCACTGTCTCTAACCATTATTCGAGGAACCCGCCTAATTGTCGGCAGGCCGGCTGCGCAGGTTGCGTCGCAGACACGAAACAACGCAAACACACCGGCTCAAATCAACACGATAAAAAGAAACTTCCCTCGAATTGTCTTATTTCGCGTGGCAGTTTAACCCAGAAAAGAAAAACAGTACCTCGCCCACACTCGCCCATTATTGTCTCATCCAGGCCGAAGTAACAGTGATAAACTGGCCAACCTGCTGAAACTAACAATACCCCTCTTTCCACCAAGAATTTCCACGACGAGGAACAGTCGAACAAACACCAACAGACTCTACTCTGCAATTCTTACGTAATCCCAGTTTCCACTGGGAAACTTTCCTCAATTTTCTGCAAGAGATTCCACGGTTGAAGATTAATTCGACGTGTGTGTTTCGAGTTCGAGGCGTGAAAGTATGTAAAGCGAGGATGATTTTTTTTTCTTTTCGAGAAATTACTCGCCAGTGTCGGGGAATCAGGAGCAAACGAATGCGACACAGTCATTGAGTGAACCTGGCGAACACAGCAAACCGCCTGCGCAACTTGCTCGTACGACGTAGCCTCACGGTGTGTCACGCTTCGCGTTCCAGTTTAAGTTAGACCGCCACACAGTGTGGAGCTGCATGTTTCCTCGACGATTCCACACTGTTCGGTGACGATCAGTGTACCAAGACTCTCGACAAAACCGGTGTTCTCTCGTCGATTGATCGAATCGACCATCGATTCGAGTTTCTAGGATTAATTCGAGCCAAGTTGAGTACGAAGAAATTTGCATATCTTCGACGCGGTGGAGAGAAAGAAATATCGAAAGTTGACTGAAAAGTGTGTGCTATTCGGAGAATTTCTGAATAGAGAAAGAGTTTGATAGTATTACGTGAGATCCACGTGGGAGAAGTCTCATGAATAAGCATTGAAAAGAGGTAAGATATTTCAGAATTGTTTTTTAGAGCACACAGGAGGAAGGTTGATTTGCTTGAAAATTTTTCTTGGCGAAGCGAACGCTGTTTTAATAGCTCCTGTCATTGAGTCCTGTTTTTTTCCCCCCGACGATTGTGCAACACGCGTGAATCAAGAATGCGAAGAATGCTAATTGTATAGGAAAATAATAACCTTCGTGCGGTAGCAGTATCATAGGTTTAATTTGTCGATACTTTCGTAACAGAGATTTTGTGAAGTATTTCGTGTGATTTGTTAATTGAACAGTTAGATCGTTGTTAAACTTTTCAGTAAGCCGAATTAATTTGTCCTTCCATGTGGCCTTAATTTTTAGACACAATCTTTTACTTGCTAATTCAGATACTTATCGTGTTATTCGTAAATAGCAGGTTCAATGCGCTTGATGAGAGGCGATTAGCATCTGGGGGTGGAAAGAATTTATCGTGGACAAAAGGGTTGAGCTGAAATCTTTCAAACTGGGTGACGGCAGAGGAAAACACCGTAGAGTCAGAATGGCAGATGAGAATCAGCAGGAGCAGCACGTACGCAAGGAACGCAAAGTGTTAAGACACCTGCCGATTCTGTTGAAAATTTTAGAAATTGTAAGACATCGAAGTTATGGACACAAACATTCTGATAATTATCTACTGCGACGAAATATATAGATCCTTGGAGATTATTGATATAGAAATTAGCGTCTAAATGTATACAAACTTTTCTTTATGATATTTGTTGCATTTCTCGTGAAATTTGTAGTCATTTATTGCAAAAAAAAATATGGATTCTTGAAGATTATTAATATGGTAGATCAACTGACACGAAATTAGTGTCAAATTTTATACAAATTTTTCTTTATGATATTTATTACATCTCTCAAGAAATTTATAATAATTTATTGCAAGAAAATACAAATACTTAAATCAAATTTTGTTTATGTTACATTTGTCATGAAATATATAATCATTTATTGCAAAGAAGATATATAAATACATAGAGATTATTAAAATGGTAGATCAGTTGACACGAAATTAGTGTCAAATTTTTTTTTATGGTATTTCTTATATTTGTCATGAAATTTATGTTCGACAGATCCTAGCTGTACTCGTGATCGGTTTGATAGTCGATCCACTGAACTCGTACCAAAAAATCCTAATCAGGACACACTTCAAGCTAGACGATGCTGCCATAATTTACGTTACTGTCGCCGGTTACCTGATAATCAACTCGCTCTTCGTCATTTGCCACTTTATGGGCGATCAAATACCAAAACGAACGGTACGTGAAAAGTTGATGAAAATTCCTTACGAAAATCAGCACAGAAAAAAAAATTAATAGAAATTTGCAGAACAGTGTAACTTTTAATACGAACCTAGGAAATTCAATCAAAGGAGATTAAAAATAACAATACCATTAGGAAGAACAGCCATGCCACGTAACGTATAGCAGTTCTCTACAATTGGAATTCAGATTACGTGACACATCTCGTGATAATAAATCGACAACGTGACATAATCGAAGGGATCGCGTGACGATCGCAAAAGGACGGTACAATATATAGCGTCGCGTCAGATTCGTTTCCTATTCTCAGTTATTTTCGACACAAATTGTGGCAAGGCTGAAGCTTCCGGCATTTCGTTAATTCCGAGCAAAAGTCCAACAATAAGTCGAACCAAACAGAAAACAGCTATTCGATAATTAACCGATGCGTCATGTCCTTCATATTTCACTAAGCAGGAATTATTTGCTTGTACTTGTGTAAATGTACAATTATTCGCGATAGGAATCTTCGTAAATGATACTTCTTCGCAAACTCCACAATTCTTCTTTCGCAAAATCTCTTCTCAGTCGATTTCAAGAAAAATCAATTTTTCTCCAGACGATAATAGTTTCTATTAATGTTTAAAGCTTTTTTCAAAAGGCACTTGGAACGAGCCTATTAAATATTCAAGGCTACGCAACGAAGGTTTACGTGTCTTCTATAGCTCATAAAGGTCACTTAGCCACCAAATAACTGTATCGATCCACCTTCGATACAATCTATGAAGAAATGTAATCTTGCACTTTGTATCAGGAAGCTAATTTAATTTTAATTACCCCATTATCGCCTCTCCACCAGCCTGGCATAAATTCAGCAGAGAGAATGTACGATCTAAAAATTTCTCATTTCCATCGGTGTTATTCACAGTCATGTATCACCAATTTCGTAGAATTATCGTGTATGATTTACCGAAGTTTTCTAGAGCACTTAAAAAATGTATCACGATACTGCCGTGTGGTTGGTTATTTTCGAGGTAACTCTGCCTGCGCTAAACACACACACGTGTTCCGTTCCAGTTTGATTAAAATTCATAACTTATCAACGTCCAACGTTCCCATACGTCGCTATTATCAACAAACTACTTTGCGACTTTTGTGCTCGTCGAACGATCGAAACTCGCTGTATCTGGGACTGGAGACATAGGTAAAACGCGATAATTACCGTCGTTCGTTTCTTACGGACGTGATAACTAGCGAAATAATCGCGAAAGTGAACGACACCGTGGCCTCGTTTGCATAGTGCCAAGAATTTCAGAAATAAAACGATAGAAAAAATTTTCTTACCGTAGAAACGTTGGAATATGATATACAAAATCTGTCAGTTTTACGAAATTAACTATAAACAGATCTAAAAAATAATTCTGCTTCCATTTTCTAAGTTGTAAAATATTTTATAACGTATGCAAATTTATTTCAGATTTATTCATTTTAAAATTAGGAATTAAACGCTCGTTTTATTTTCGTTCCTGTCATTTTCGTAAAATTAACTATTCACAGATCTAGAAAAATAATTCTGCTTGCTTTCTAAGTTGTAAAATATTTGAAAACGAATGCAAATTTATTTCAGATTTATAAATTGGGAATTGAACGCTCTCTATTATTTCGGAAAAAAAAAAAGGAAGTACGTAAAAGTGGATCATTGATCTCGATGCATTTCTAAGAAACGTCGATCTGCTCTGATTACAGTTGATAATATTCGCCACGGTCGGTGCACTTCTACACATCGTCGCTGGAAGTGTAATTGTCTATAATTGGAAGAAGATTCTCGGCCCTTATTACAACAACAACGAATTCTACCCGAGCAAACAGTACATGGACATGTTCATATCTGGCGCGGTGTTCACATTTGTGAACGCGCTGGTTTTCATATTGGAAGTTTTCTTCATTATCAAAGTTTCACCGAAGGTGACAGAGTGAACAACGTAAGACGAATAAATTAGAGAGAGAATGCGAACAATTTTGCAACGATTATGCTGACAAATGCTTGTTCCATGGTACAACGAGTTGTCAGTAAGTTAGGAAAAAACGTATTTAAAGGAAGAAAATTGCTAATTTTAAGAATAATAATTAGTAATGTTTGATGCTCTCAAGTATAAGCTGTTCTAACTCGAAGAAATTCTAATCTATACTAAGAAGCTTCGGACAATATTAATTTCGAGAATGTTAATTGAAAACACGTGAATTACGATTGAACAGAAAATTTAGCTTTACACAGACGACCGATAATTCGAACTGAACAATATTGCAAAATGGAAGTTTCGTTAAATTATGAAACGAAGAGAAAATTGAAAACTGGAATTATTCCACCGAATGTGTTCTAAATCATACGTTAAAAAGAAATTGCACTTTGTGCAATTTCTGACACTTTGTAAAATGAAATGTAACCCAAAAATAATTGAAGAACCAAATATTTAACTATTAGCTGTAAGTCCTAATACCGTCCAATTTTTTTAACGAGTAATTAGCCTAGATGTTAGTAATTAGTTAACAGTAGGAACATTTTTAGAAAATGTACAAATTGAATAACACGATAAATTTTACTGTAGAACGTTAGATCGTGAAATGTAGCTTTATACGATAGAAAATTAGAGCAATTGTATCTCGTATTATTTAGTAGTTTTATGTAATTTTTAAATATAACTTCAATCCTTACCGTGTTAACGAGAAATTAGCAGATTCGGCAATTAGCGTAAAAACCGATATCCAAAGATTTTCTACACAGTTTATACTTCTAAGAGAATAGAAAAAGATCCACCGAAAATTTCGAGCGTACTTTAAATGTTATTCTACGATCCAAAGTTTGTACGATTAGCGTAGCGTGTAATATAGTAACTTTTTATTTCTTATTTGTACTATGTTAAAGAAAGACGAAAAATTAGAATTTATCGATTTGTAGATCTATCATATAGATTTAACAAAAATTCACGTGTCTTTATCAAAACACATCCCGTCCAATTTAATCATTTACTGTTACCGTTAATGTATATTACTCTAAATATTTTAACTCAAAGATGTTCGTGTAATCTGTCGAATTTAGCGCTTGAGACCAATAATCTTTCGTAACGTAATTTTTTAAGAGAAATGTATAGTTTATTAATAAAGAAAATGCATAAAGAACACACTTTTTGTAGCACAAAACATTATGAAGCCGTGAATTGAAGGTACAAAAG